CTCGTTTTGATTCACCTTCATAATTATGTTTCCGTTTCCCACATGGGTCTGCCTGGAGAAGGGAAGACTGCTGGCCACAGCTGCAAGTTTTCCGTCTGTGAATTGGCATCCATTTCCCCATACATACCCTGGTGTGGTGAGCTTGGTTTCGGAGATCCGCCCCGAGAGATGCTGATGAAATCGGTTTCTGAGCCTGCAATCCCGGGAATCACTATAGACTGCATTCTCCCAAGTAATGCCACCTCCCGAGGCCTCTTGGGAAGCAGCCAAGCAACTCTCCAGACAACGCCTTCTCCATGGATGAGAGGCCAAGGGAACTATTTCCCCTTTTAAAAATTTCTACAGTCGGAGTTTTATTATAGTTTTTAGTTAAGACCACCAGTTTAAATACAGTCAAACCATTCCAAGTGAATCACTGCTCTGTATTAGACATTCTGCTTGAGTATCTAACAAATATGCTCTCTCTCTAAAAAAAAAAAAAAAAAAAAAAAAAAAAAAAAAAAAAAGTATGGCTTTTTTAAAGATAGAACTACACTTAAAGTGGGGGAGGGGAGCTATTATGGATTTTAAAATATTTACACATACCAACCAAATTCGGTGACACCTTTAGAGCCTTTTGCAAACAAACTGTGTTAGGCAGAATAACAACCCCCACTCTCACCCCCCACCCCCAGGGACCTTCGTATTACCTTACACTGAAGAGCCTTTGCTGGTGTGATTAAGTTAAAGGGCCTTGACGTGGGGAGATTAGCCTGCGTTATCCAGGTGGGTCCTTTATAATCACCTGGGTCCTTAAAACCTGAGATCCTGTCCCGGCTCGGGTCAGAGGGAGAGATGACCACGGAAGAAGGGTCAGAGATGCAATAGGGCTAGCTCCGAAGATGAGAGTGGACCATGAGCCAAAGAATGCCGCCTCTAGAAGGTGGAAGAGGCAAACAAGCAGATTCCTCCCTAAAACATCCAGAAAAGAACGCCCTGCTGGCCCCTTCATTGTATCCCGGTGAGGCCCATGTCAGACTTTCAACCTAGAACACTGGTAAGATATTGATTTTGTTCTAAGTTGTTAAATTTGCAATAACTTGTTACAGCAGCAATAAACACTAACACACAAACTTAAAAAGATACTCAAGAAGCTGAGACCGGTTTGGCTCAATGGATAGAGCGTCGGCTTGGGGACTGAAAGATACTCGAGGTTGTTTTTTTTTGTTGTTTTTTTTTTAAGCTGGGGTTGGTTATTAGATAGAACATTAAGGAATTCATGTTAATTTTTGTTAGGGCATAATAGTATTTGGACTACCTTTTAAACTCTTGTTAGATTTTCATACTGAAGTATTCCCGAGATGATATGATTCAGTATCTGACATTTGCTTTAAAATACTGCCTTTCTCACCTCAAAAAATAGTGGGAGAATAGGTAAGATGCTAAATTAGCAAAAGGTTAATTGTCGAAGGTGGGGCTCATGATATTATCTTCTTACTGTGTACACTTGAGATTTTCCGTAGATTAAAAATAAAAGTGAAGCAACCTAGGAGAGACCACGTATGTGATAATGAAAATGTTATATATCAACACTGTTCAGTGCAGTAGCCACTTATCATGGAGCTACTGAGCACCTGAAATCTAGCTACTGCAGTAGAATACTTTTTTTTTGTTATTATCTTTACTTTAAAATATATTTTGATTTCCTACAGAGAGAAAGGGAGAGGGATAGAGAATTAGAAACATTGATCAGCTGCCTCCTGCACACTCCCTTCTGTGAATGTGCCTGCAACCAAGGTACATGCCCTTGACCAGAATGGAACCTGGGACCCTTAAGCCTGCAGGCTGACGCTCTTATCCACTGAGCCAAACCAGTTAGGGCTAAAAGTCTTAATATAAATTCCCATAAAAATACTTCTTAGCCCTGGCCGGTGTGGCTCAATTGGTAGGGCATCAACTTGTGCACTGATAGGTTGTGGGTTTGAGTCCTGCTAGGGTTGCAGGCTCCATCCCCAGGAGGAGGTGTGAGGTGTGCAGGAGGCAGTTGACCAATGTTCCACTCTCAAATAGATGTTTCTCTCTCTCTCCCTCTTTCTTCCTCTGCCTGAAAAAACAAACAAACAAACAAACAAAAAACAGCCAAAACCGGTTTGGCTTAGCGGATAGAGCGTCAGCCTGTGGACTGAAAGGTCCCGGGTTCGATTCCGGTCAAGGGGATGTACCTTGTTTGGGGGCACAGCCCCAGTAGGGGTGTACAAGAGGCATCTGATTGATGATTCTCTCTCATTAATGTTTCTAACTCTCTAATCCCCTCTCTGTAAAAAATCAATAAAATATATTTTTTTAAAAAACTTATATGCGAGGGTAATTAGCAAAATAATAAGACTAATGGCACTGCTATCTAGACTGAATTGTGTCCTCCAGATTTTGTATGTTGAAGCCCTAACATCCCTCCTCCCCCCACCCCTTCTGACTGTACTGGAGACTGGACTTTTAAGAAGATGGTTAAGGATGAATATGGTCAGAAGGGCTGAATCCTGATGTTAGAGTGCTGCCCTTTTGAGAAGAGGAAGGGACAGCAGAGCTCTCAGCCAGGTGAGGACAGTGAGAAGGCAGCTATCTGCAATCCAGGAAGAGCCTCACCAGAACCCGACCATGCTGGCACCCTGCTCTGGGACGCAGCCTCCAGAGCTGTGAGAAAAGGACTCTGTTGTTAAGCTGCCCAGGCTATCTATGGCATTTGCTAAGGCAGCGAACAGACTAACACAGGCATCCAGTACAACCGCCCAGGGGCCGGTCACTACCAGTTCCATCTTCAGGGTGAAGTGGACCCTGATTAGAAAAAATTGTGATGTATTAATGTTTTATTATTCTGCTCCCATTCTTTTTTTTTTTTAATATATATTTTTATTGATTTCAAAGAGGAAGGGAGAGGAAGAGAGAGATAGAAACATCAAAGATGAGAAAGAATTACCGATCGACTCTTCCGCACACCCCCAACTGGGGATCGAGCCCAAAACCCAGGCATGTGCCCCTGACCAGAATCGAACCTGGAACCCTTCAGTTCCTAGGCTGACGCTCCATCCACTGAGCCAAACTAGCCAGGGATCTGTTCCCATTCTTGATTTCAGCTTAGTCTGGAGTCGCTTTTCAACTGGGTTTTATTTTTATTTTCCTTTAATATATTTTTATTCATTTCAGAGAAGGGAGAGGGCTAAAGAGATAGAAACATCAATGATGAGAATCACTGAGTAACTGCCTTCTGCACACCCCACACTGGGGATTGAGCCCACCACCTGGGCATGTGGCCTGACCGGGAGTGGAACTGTACATGACCTCCTGGTTCATAGGTCAACACTCAATCACTGAACCACGCCGATAGGGCTGGTTTTTACTTTTTTAAATAACAAAAAGAACAGCCCAGCTACCTTGAATCTCACTAGCAACTGAAGTGTATTATACCAACAGTATAGAGATTTTAGTGATATTAAACAGCTAGAATTATATTTTAAATGGGAGAAAATGCTGATAAATCACACAGTGTCAAATTATAGTATTGATCTTTTTTTAATTTTTCAGACTTTAAAGAAAGTAAAATTCTCCTAAGTACTGATTCATAGGTGTTCAGAAGTGGCATACATTCAGTTTCAGAGTAATATTCAGTGATCCTTCTAAATGCAATTGTAATCTTAAATTTAAGCCAAGTACAATAATAATTTAATACAATAAGCTAAATACACAAAAGCTCTATATCCTGATCTACAAAAGTAGTTTCCATAGCCACACATGGTTTAGTCAAATACACATTTCCACAATGAACAAGTACTAACAAATGTTAATAAAACACCTAAATGCTTGTCTTGCCATCAGCTTTTTAACAATGCCATTCCTGCTACTGAAAGCATTTTTATACTGAAGGGAAATCTGGCCTGGGAAAATGAGTTTTCTTAAAACTTGAAAAATAGTATAAGCCCAAGAGATTTTAAATCAAAAAAGTCTTCAACATGAAGCACTCACATGAACCTTTTAATTTCTCTCTCCAAAAAAGCATTCTATTCAAAGGAAAGAATATTAAAACATAGTATTACCTTAAGACAGATAAACACTCCTACAAAAGAATGTATTTTCTTCTACATCTCCTTAAAAGAAATCCAAATCATCTCACTATCTTTTAATAACCTCTCAGATTACTGCAGTCTTAAAGCTTTTAAGTTTTAATTATCATGTCTTAGCTATCAGAAAGTCAAAGATGCCATTTAGAGGTCACATATTAAAGAGCATGCCCTGGAGAGGGAAGCTGGAGGGGGAGAAAGGGGAGATAAAGGGAACATACGTAATACTTTCAACAATAAAGACTTATTTAAAAAATAAAGAGCATGCCCTACAACGGCAAAATACACCTGATACATAAATACTTCATTGTTTAGAATTCAGCCATCGCCAACCTTTCGGACCTCACGGACCGCCAGTGGTCCACGGACCAACGGTTGGTGACTGCTGGTTTAGACAGTCAAAAGTCAGAAAGTACTAACTACATGGGTTTGCAAGATCCTTTAACTTATGTATGGTCATTAAAACCCAATAAGTAATTCAGGTATGGTTGTATAATGGCAGGTAGTTAAAGGCTCCAATAACACTTCTTTTAAATTAGAAAAATATATATTTTTTTAATTGATTCAAGAGAGGAAGGGAGAGGGAGATAGAAATATCAATGATGAGAGAAAAATCACTGATCGGCTGCCTTGGGGATCCAGCCCGCAACCCAGGCATGTGCCCTCGACCGGAATGGGACCTGAAACCCTTCAGTCCGCAGGCCAATGCTCTATCTACTGAGCCAAACCAGATAGGGCTCAAATATCACTCTTAAACAGAAGGCATGAAAATAAAGGTGGGAAACTTTGTGCTTCTCCATCTTCCACTTACACCACTTACATCCACTTACATAGACCTTACTATGGAAAACATGGTTATGTATTCAGTCTCCCCAGAAGACAAGGAAGCTTCAGCAAATTTAGAAGTTGTCAAGATCCATAGTTTGCTTCATCAAATGCTTTTCTAGCTCGTTTCAATTCTTCATTCATAGTGAGCAAATCTTTAACCCTGGCAAACTTCCTTGGGTCCTTCCGAATCAAAAAGACGATATCTTCAACTTGGACCCGCCCTTGTCTTCCAATTGACATGGCCTTGTGAGTCTATTTCAAAAAAGCATATTAAATTCAATTGATTTTTAAAAATATAATATTTTACTGTTTTAATTCGCATGTATTTATCGTTCTTTTTTAAATTTGCATTTTAATACTGGTGAGTTTGAAGATTTTTCTCTTCTATTATAGCTATGCATTGGTGAATTATCTTCTATTCATACCTCTATCCATTTTCTACTGTGTGATTAGCACTGTTTCTCTTAATGTTTTAATATTTTTTAATATTAAGGACACAAAAGCTATCAAATTTATTGATGTTTCTTTGTTTAATTTTTGATATACCATATTTTCCGGTGCAGAAGACAACTTTTGAAACGAAAAATTGTCAACCGAAAAAAAAAAAAATATATCAGGGGGTCGTCTTATACGCCGAGAATATCCCGAAAAACGTCTCAATATGCCGCTAACCCTATGTTTTAACTGTAAAATTAGGGGGTTGTCTTATACGCCGAGTATATCCCGAAAAACGTCTCGATATGCTGCTAAACCTATGTTTTTACTGTAAAATTAGGGGGTTGTCTTAAATGCCAGAAAATACGGTAGGTAGTTTTTGCCTTCAATATGTAAAATAATTTTGTAATTTCTTTGTAATCACCCATTTCATTTAAAATTTGTGTCCATCTCAATATTGGTGGCTTTCTTAAAATCAAATCTCACTCCCTATCATTATATATTAATCCTGTGCAAAAGCAAAGGTACCTCATAGCATTATTCCTGTGACTAAAGAAAGGGAAACTAAATATTAAGGATTTAAATAAATTTAATTTTATGAGACCATTAAAAATATAGTATTATAAAAAATATATATATATAGTGTTATGCAATGACATGGGGAAAATGTCCTTAGGCTTACCTAAATAGAAAACAAAACAAAAAAAGGTTATAAGACTGTATATATCTATATAATTTCAATTTTATAAATTTTAAAAATGTATAAAGACAAAAGAATATTCACCAAAATCTTAGCATTAGTTGTCTCTATAGTAGGTGTCTCATATATGTGTATGTACATAGACACACATATACAATCTCCATTCCTAATAAGTTAGTAATCAGTAACTTCCACAAAACAGGCACTCACATGGATATCTTATTTCTAAAGGGTGCCATAGTTCTAGTCTTAACTATATAAGTTTGAATTTAAAATCTTTTTTTCAATTAACTAAGACCAATAACAAAAAAATATCTTACCATTTCAGTGATGAACTCTATAACAAGGTCTTCAAGAATATCCACTGATTCAGTATAAGGATTCTGGTCATCCCCAAACCCATACATCATACATCGTACTGTAAAAGAAAAATCATTCTTATTGGACAACTTTAATCACTTGATCAATACTTTTTTCAAATTAGAATTGAACCAAATTGCCCAGATCAAACGACTCAGTTGTGAATCATCCCATACACCAAAAGGTTGAGTATACGTCCCGTCAGGACACACACCTAAGTTGTGGGTTTGAAACCCAGCGAGGGTGCATACAAGAGGCAACCAAGCCTAGCTAGTTTAGCTCAATGGATAGTGTCTGGCCTACGGACCAAAAGGTCCTGGGTTCGGGTCCAGTCGAGTGCACAAACTTTGGTTGCAGGATCCTCCTTGGCCCCAGCCCTGGTCAGGGTTCGTGCAGGAGGCAACCAGTCAGTGTGTTGCTCTCACATCGATGTTTCTCGGTCTTTCCCTCTCTCTTCTACTCTCTCTAAAAAACAATGGAAAAATATCCTCGAGTATGGATTAACAACAACAATATATTTTTAAGAGGCAACCAATAAGCATTTCTCTCTTTCCTCTACGCTCTAAAAATCAATAAAAACATATCCTAGGGCAAGGAATTAAAATGAAAATTATAGAGCTCAGCCAGTGAGGCTCAGTGGTTGAGTGTCCACTTATGAAACAGGACAACAGGTGGTCTGCGGACCACTGGTGATCCGTGAGGTCTGAAAGGTTGGTAACTACTGAACCAGGGGGTTAAGGTTTGATTCTATTCAAGGTCAGGGCACATGCCTGGGTTGCGGACTTGATCTCCAGTAGGGGTTGTGCAAGAGGCAGCCAATCAATATTCTCTCTCATCATTAATCTCTCTCTCTCTCTCTCTCCCTTCCTCTCTCTAAAATCAATTTTTTTAAATAAGTATATTTTATTGATTTTTTACAGAGAGGAAAGGAGAGAGATAGAGAGCTAGAAACGTCGATGAGAGAGAAACATCGACCAGCTACCTCTTGCACACACCCTATCGGGGATGTGCCCGCAACCAACGTACATGCCCATGACCGGAATCGAACCCGGGACCTTTCAGTCCGCAAACCGATGCTCTACCACTGAGCCAAACCGGTTTCAGCTAAAATCAATTTTTAAAAAATATAAAAATATTAAAATTTTGGTGACATGGCTAAAGTAGTCTGGCAGGATTCTCCAAAAATAATAATGCCCTTATTATTTTTCCTGAAGATGTAGACTTCACTAGTAGGGAAATATATTTCACTGGAAAACATATTAGGTAGGAAGTATGTAAACTGCATTTGGTTAAAGGGTCTGTGAAGACAAACAAATTCCTGTGAATGCTTTGAAAGTTTGTTACATTAGCAAAAAAAATATTTTCTTTTGTAAATGATCAGGAAAACAGGCCTTAGTAAGATATATTCTAGTAAGACAAGTTGTGAAGATTCCAAATTCTTGTCATCATAAAAATAAAGCAATCCAAGAAGAATAAAATTTTCTGCTAAGAACCGACTGCCCAAGCATCACTCTGGAGTGCCCTAGTGTAGTAATCCCCTTCGTATGCTGATCAAAGAAGTAAAACCACAAACAAATGGAGTACAAACAAATCAGAGATGGAATAAAGAGCAGTCAGCTTTAGGTGACAAACTGAGATACAGAGAGGAATTTGAGTGGTTAAAAAAAAAAAAAAAAAAAAAAAAGATATAATGGCCTGCAGTTCCATGAGCCTTTGGGAACTGTTTACATCTGACTCAGCATCAACGAACCAGCTATTCAAGTGCTGCCCTATTTGTCAATACTCAGCCATAACAATACGTTAAGGGAGCTGGTATGGGAGATGAAGAGCAAATTCTCATGGTGCCTTTCAGAATCTGGCCTGGCCCAGTCCCTCCTGCTGCTGACAAAAAGGGTCAAACCTGTCGCCGGAGGGAGTAGAATGGAGGGCGGATACATTATAATCTCTATGCCACTATAAGATCCTGTACTGTTCACCACCTTCCTGCCTTTGTCCAGCGCTCCAATTTAATTTCCAGGCTCAGCATGTTCCAGGATTCATCCTAACCTTTGGTCAAAAGTCCCTGCTTCTACTGCTGCAAAGGTGTGGGACAAGGGGAGAAATGGAGGTATGTTCTTAGGTCTTGTTGAAACACTGATCACATTTCCTCACTTGAAAAAAAAGTGTATGTGTATGAATATACATAATAAAAGACTAATATATAAATTAATATATATAATAAAATAATATATATATATATTAATATATATAATATATAATAAAAGACTAATATGTAAATTCCCACTCGGGCAGTCATTCGCTATGTTGTATGCTGACCAGCAGGGGACAGTGCATAACGTAGCGGGCATCAGCCAACACGGCACTGGCAGCAGGCAATCATGGAGGCGCTGCTGGCCCCAATGGTCCCTGACGAGAGTGGGATCAAGAGGGACCGGAACTGCAGTAGGATGGTGGAGCAGGTGAGTGGGCAGCACCAGGCCAAAGCAGTGCAAGCAAGGGCCCAATTACCCCACAGATGTTGAGGAGTGGCAGTGGCAGGGAAGGGTGTGGGTGGGACCGCTGCCCACCTCCCAGACACTGAGGGAGCCAGGAAGGAGGCCTGCCCCTATCGATTACCCTGTATAGGATGGTGAACAGGTGAGGGGGCGGCACCAGGCCAAAGTGGGGTATCAAGTGAGGCTGCAAGGCTGGGGTGCATGATCTCTGCAGGCCACCTGAGGGACCCTACTGGTGCACAAATTCATGCACCGAGCCTCTAGTATTTATATATGTGTGTATGTAAGTTGGGATTAGGATCATCACTAGCTATGATTGACAAGTTAAACAGAACTGTACAAGCAAGTCTGAGAATAATATCCCTCCGGGGAAATAATTCAGAACAATAAATCTATTTGCTTTTGTTTAAATATATATTTTTTTATTTTATTTTATTTTTTTTAAAAATATATTTTATTGATTTTTGTACAGAGAGGAAGGGAGAGAGACAGAGAGTTAGAAACATCAATGAGAGTCATCGATCAGCTGCCTCTTGCACACCCCCTACTGGGGATATGCCCGCAACCAAGGTATATGCCTTAGACCGGAATCGAACCCGGGGCCCTTTAGTCCCCAAGCCAACGCTCTATCCATTGAGCCAAACTGGTCCCGGCTAAATATATATTTTTTTTATTTTAAAGAGAGGAGAGGGATAGAGAGAAACGTCAACTAGAGAGAAGCCGATTGCCTGCCTCCTGCACGCCCCCTATTGGGGATCGAGCCCACAACCCAGGCATGTGCCCTAACTGGGAATCCAATGGGTCATTGCTCAAGCACTGGTCCACATGGGCCAGGCCAGAACAATACTTATTAATCCACTTTGAATGCACATGTCCAAAACGTGTCATCATCTACAATAAAATACTTGTAAACATTACTTACATTCTTTAGAAAAAAGTCTCTTTCTTCTACCCTGCCCACCTTCTGCACCTCCTCCAATTTCTTCATTTTCTTCCTCAAACTAGAAGTTAAAATGCGTAGAGAAATGTCAAGTCATTGCACCGCACTGATTTTTTTAATACTAATTAACATTTCCCCTCCATTTTCAACACTGACATCAAGCAGCAAACACCCATGAAACCACAGCATGTTAGCCCAGCCTCCCGCTCAGGAAGCAACGGCTTTTAAAATGTCCCTAACAAAAAAAAATAATAAAATAAAATGTCCCTAACAAAAAAATAAAATAAAAATAAATAAAATGTCCCTAACAAATAATCCATCTGCCTCTCCCGAAAGAATCCCATTCACTACTCTTCCTCCCCCCCTGCCCCGCCCCAACCGACCATGGCGGCCTGCTGCTAGCAGTTTTACTGGCCCAAGAGCTGGTGCTGAATCAGAGCGAGAACACACTGCAGCGCCGGGAACGCTCCTGAAGTAAGTCTTCGCCCCACTTAGTGCCATGAACCCCGAGAACCCAAATTAAGTAACTTGCTCAGGGGCGACAGCAGTTGTGAAACCCCAGCTTCCGACTTCCGGCGCGGACTTGACAGAAAGCGGACAGGGAACCGCTGGCTCGCGGGGAGCGCTCACACCCCCCCGCTCTGACCCCCGAGGGCTCTCTAGGCCTTATAAGGGGGGTGAGGGGAGTCTGGCAGGTGCGGACCCAACGCAAAGGTAAGGGGCCGCCTTCCCCTTCCCCTTCACGTCCTAAAAAGTGAAGGGAAGGGAAAGGCTTGGCACCGCGTCGAGCCCCCGGCTCTCCCGGCCTAAGTCTCTCAGGAAAGCAGACCCGACTCCGACCTCGGCCTCCGCCACGGCCCCCGGGGGAGGGAGGGAGGAGAAGAGCGGGTGGGGACAGAGGCGGTCACTCACAGTGGGGTCCTCTTCCTCATCCGCCATCCCACGGGCCAGTCCTCGGCGCCCGGCCCGCCTCGCTACGAGCCGGCTTTTACTACTTCCGCCGCCGCACTTCCGGTGACGCGCGGGCGCGGGCGGGGCCTATATGGGCGGGGCCGACAGGGGCGGGGCGGGGTCTAGTTGGGCGGGGCCGGCAGGGGAGGGGCGGGGCCTAAAGGCTGAGCCGAAATGCTCTTTAGGGACCTAGGAATGAACTCAGGCTCTGAAACCAGAAAGGAGGAATTAAAGGGCAAAGAAACGGAAGCCATGGCGGCGTGTACCTGGTTGGCACCCTAAATGTGCTTCTGCAGGTGGGGTCACCATGTCTGATTCCGGGCTGCCAAGCAATGGATGGATGGTTATGGGGCTGCCCCAACTGTGTGTGTAAACCATTTCAACCACTTAGAGTTCCACTGTTATTCATGCCAAGCTTTGTGCTGGTTACTGGGGATATTGTTCTTTTCAACTAGTAAAGCTTCGAATTTTCAACCCCACCTGCCCTTCTCCAGACAGGGGAGAAAGCTTGGGAATGGAGTTGATTGTACTTACATGAGGCATAAAAATCCCAACAGTAGGAGGTTCAGAGCCTCCAGGATGGGGAAAACATCCACATACTAGAAGGGGAACGTACCCCACCCACACAGGGACAGGCACTCTTCATTTGGACCCTCCCAAATCGCATCTAATATCTCTCTTCACCTGGCTGTTCATTTGTATCCTTGATCATATCCTTGAATAGACTGGCAAACTTAAGTATTTTCCCGAGTTCTATGAGATGTTCTAGCAAATAATAGAATACAAGGGAGAAGAGGGCACAGGAACCTCCAATTTGTAGCCAGTGGGACAGAAGGTGTGGGTATCCTGGGGGCCTGTAGCAGGGGGACGTGAATATGTGCAGAGGTGATATGTGCTCTGGGAGTTTGTGATCTGGGAAGGGCATCCTTCCAAGAAGGTCTGAGAGGTCTCCTGTGAGAAAGTGAGGTTTGGACTGAGGCCTGAGCGGTGAACGGAGTTAGCCAGTGAAGGAGGAGGAAAGTGTGCTGTGCCCCAGACTTACCCAGTCCTTTCCCATCCCCATGCCTTTGAGCACTTTTACTCCTTTCTTTTCTATTGAAATGCTACATGACTTTCGGGCCCAGCTGAAATGTCTGCTCCTGCAGAGACTGGTTTGGCTCGGTAGATAGAGCCTGGGCCTGCGGACTGAAAGGTCCTGGGTTTGATTCCAGTTAAGGGCATGTACCTTGGTTGCGGACATATCCCCAGTAAGGGTGGTGCAAGAGGCAGCTGATCGATGATTCTCTCTCTCATCGATGTTTCTAGCTCTCTATCCCTCTCTCTTCCTCTCTGTAAAAAATCAATAAGATATATTTTAAAAATAGATAAATAAAAACTAAAAATCAATAAAATATATATATATTTTTAAAATAAATAAATAAAATAAAATGTCTGCTCCTCCATCAGGCCTTCCCTGAGCTTTCAGCCCAAAGCCCTTTCTCCCTTACACTCCCACAGTCCTGGCTTCATTTTCCTGTAACACTTCTCTCGCTTTCCATGGTCTTTTCTGGTTTTTATACACCCAGCTTATCTTGTCTGCTAAATGTTAAACTTATTAAGATTTGTTTATAATTTTGTTTAAAATCTTAAACTTGTAAGATTTTATCATTTCCTTATTTCTCTTTGCATCTCTGAGCTCCCAAAGGTTAGTGCATTTCTGACACTTCAAAGTCCTGGAACAAATATTTGCAGCAGAAATGAATGCCTGTTTGACATCCCTTTTCAAATACGTTGTAATTCAAATGAAGCTTTTGTCCTGAGCTGTGCCTTTGGGGACTGGGCTTACTCTTTGGTTAAACTGGAATGCCATCGTCATGGTCCCCAGGACTGATGAGTGTTTGTCACAATGACCGAAACCACCATAACAAACAGGCCACTGTTCTTGACTGACAGGAGTTTGGCAACAGTGAAGGCTGAAATGAAATGAGGAGGACTGTCTGAATTGAGTTCCCAGCTTGGTGGGGGGTGGGGGGGTACAGCTCTACTTATTTCTCACAGTTAGGGTGCAAGAGCTAGTGACCCAGGCTCTGGCCTGATGTGAAGCTCTGAAGTGAAAGAAACATGAATGGGTGGAAACAAAATCATCAAAAGATCCGTATCCGTGACAGCATCCTAATCGGAGACTGTGATCACAGGAGGGAGCTTTGAAGTCAGACAGACCTAGGTTTGGATCCTCGCTGGCAATGTTATCTCACTCCTGTTCCTTCTTTGAGCCTCAGGTTTCTTCTTGAAAAAAATATTTGGGGAACTGTTTGACATTGAAATTGGGTCTCAAAAGAACTGTTGGCCCAGAAAGAAACTCACTACAGACTGATTCATATGCCTTTCAGCATAACAATTATTGCTTGTCTCATTTTTTATTCTTATATTTCCAGTAGGACATGATCTCACTCATCTGGGGGAAATGGTGAACAACATAGACGGATGAACAAGAACAGACCCAGAGACAAGGAGCCATGGGTCACCGACTGTTGAACCTCAAAGGGAGGGTGGGGATCAAAGGGAGAGATCAACCAAAGGACTTATGTGCACACATATAAGCCTAACCAGTGGTCAAGGACAATGGGGAGGGGAGAGCATGAACGGGGAGTGGTGGGGGATTGGAATGGGGGGTTGAGGACAAATATGTGATACCTTAATGAATAAAGAAATTTTAAAAAAATATTCGGCAAAATAGTGAGGACCAAAGATAATGTCCTTTACACACACATGCCTGTGCTCTGCTAAAATGTGTTTATTTGTATATCTTCTCCTATAAAGTTTGTTCCCTGAGGGCATGGACTCATTTTTACCTTTATTTCTGCAAATCTAGCAAAGTGCCCAGCATGTAATATCTTCCATTTGTTTTTTTGGTTGTTTTTTATTCTTACACTTACGTTTATTATTTCAAAGAGTCTGTCCTGCATCCTACTTTTTTGTTTGGCCTCTAGGAGGCTCTAGTGGCTTTTCTCCTGCGTGACCAAGCGGGCAACAGCCAGCAGAGGGCCCTGGGGCAGGCAGGGCCAGTGAATCCCTTCAGCAGCTTGGCTACCGCTGCGGGATTGTTAACCTTGCACTTTGATCTCCGGGGGACTCTGTCACTCTCTCGAAGGTCAAGTTGTGTGTAATTATGTACTTCAATGTACAAAACGTAATCCGTGACTTTGTCTCCACCCATCCCCACCCCACACCCTACCCTCACTAAAAACTCCTCACTAAAAACTCTCGACAGCTTGTGCAAGTGTTGTGGGAAGCGCTGTCCAGATAATCAGATTTCTGGTGACAGTGGCCGAGGGGATCCCAACATTACCTAAGTACAGGAGATAATCGAGACTCTCCTGAAACAAACAGGCAGTTATCTGAATGTTTCCCGTCAGCGTGGAGTTTTGTGGCCTGAAACAGGAGACTCGTTTTTGTTATAATTTCCTTATTTCATTTCGAAAGTTCAGACGCAGCCTGGCTATCCAGTTTTCCATAAGAAGTCAAAGGGCCGAGCGGCAAGAGCAGCCCTGGAGGCCCCTGGGGCCCCCTCTGAACCCCGGGGGCCTGGGCTCTTGAGGGGAAGCCCGGGACCGACCAAGCCTCCTCTGTGGCAGGAGGGCTGCAGACACACCAACGTCCACAGCAGCCGCCACAGCGCAACCTGCAAGTCCTTACCTTTTCACCCGCAAAGCTTACAGGTCTGGTTACCTCCCAGCACCTCTTCCGCGCCGGCACCCAGAAGAGATTTGGTTACCATGGCCACGCAGGACGCCTCCCGGACCACGCGCTGCTCCGGCGGAAGCACGCAAGCCCCGCCCACATAGGGCCCCTCGCTCGGCAATCTGCTAGCCGCCCCTGATTGCGATCGGCGCTCGCCTCCCTGCCCTTGCGTCTGCGCACGACGGCTCTTACCCGTCGCCGCGGCCGGGATCGGGAAGTGTCAAGCGGGAGCTGGGTTCCCCGACCTGCGCTCCTGCCACCGCTGATCCCGGACCCCCTAGCCAGGCCCGGGCGCAGCCGCCATGACGAACGGTGAGAGCCAACGCCCAGAGGGGAGGATGTGAAGGAAAGACGAGGGGCAACGTGGCGGGCGGAGCCGGGACTGACGTGGCCGCTCTCCCCGCCCCCTCCCCGCTCAGCCCTCTTGGCCTCTCTGGGTGCCCTGACCCCGTCCTCTAGATCCCTCCCCGGGTCCCCGGGGCAGTTACCATCTAGCACCCCAGTGCCTCTCGTGCCTGCACCCCTTGTCCTCGGGCCCTGCCCTGTGCTTTCCCTTCTCCCCTTCCTAGCCTCTTGGAATGGCCACTCGGGGTGAACTATGGCTTTACCTGCTCAAGTTCAGCACCAGGGGAAAGAGGATTTTCCTCCCAGTCCCCCCCACCCCCACCCCCCGCGTCCTCAGTCTTGCTGAGAGGAGGCCCGTTATGAGGGCCAAGAAATCACAAAGGATCTCAAGCTCCACACTTTTGAGGGGTGAATGGAGAGCCTAAAAAAGTCTTCTTCTGGAAGAAAAAAAAAAAAAAGTGTTCTGTTTGGGTGATCCCATTCCAAGCTTGTGTTATGTGTCAGTAAGGTACTGCCTCTTCTGAAGGATTGTGTCCATTACCACCCTGTTTATTTGACCTATTATAATTTCCCAAACAGTGTGTGGACACGATTTCTGAATTCCCGAGAAAGGCAGGAAGCGGGGCTTTTGTAGTCCGTAGAGTCAGCCTTACAGGAAAGGAGAGAGCCTCCAAGGTGGTATGATTGGAGGAGCACAGGAGAGCATTTCTCAAAAGCACCCAAGACTCAAATTTCCCCTCCTTGTGGATTTTGGCATTGTCCGCGAAAACTCATGGGAGGAGACGACTAGCACATGAAGGTCTCATTCACCGTAAAGACTTGGTGGGAGTGTTAACTTACTGAACTCTTTGTGAGTCCTCCTGGGTGAGACTGACCAGGAGGAGGCAGGGAGATGGAGCCGGTCTGAACTGGCAGCGGCTGTCCATGACCCTGTTGGAGCTTCCTGGCAGTCAGAGATCTGGGGTTCCTAAGCATAGGAGAAGGGACATCACCCAGAGCAAGAAATCCTCTGAGCCAGGAAATAAGGGAGCAGCCTGACACATAATTACTGAATAAGCTTTAGTTACCCTCCTCCCGTTTTGTGGATGATACCTATTTTCTTTTTGCGGTTAGGTGATTTATTGTATGTATCCAAGAAATAGCTACATTGACATAGAAGTGTTCAAAGGTTCCCCCACAATTGTTCGACTGTGTTGAATTGTCGAAGCCTCAGGAAGATATACATCTTTTACAAGAATCCTGCTATTCTGGCAGAAATTTGGTTTGTAAGTGGAGGATCATGCATGAAGAGTAAGATAAACATAGGAAAGATGTAATCATACGGAGTCGATAACTCTTGTAGTTTCCCTTAAGTTTCTTTTTGCCTTATCATTTTTTTTTTAACAGATACAGGCCTAAGGGACTTGGCTAATTACCTAGCCATTCTTTATCACATGAGTGACTGATAATATGTTTAATTCTCTCAAAAGAGACTCCAAGGATTTTTAGGGCTCTCTCAACCTCTTGCCAGCTCTGGCCATTCCTGGGAGGCTGGGTCTACAGAAACTGATGTCCTTTTCTCAGGATTTCTAGTTCTTAAAAGGGGAGGGGAGAGCAGGGCTCAGTGACATTGCTGTAAGGGGGGTGCCTGCAAGCAGCCTTTGGGGACAGTAAGCTAACCTTGCTGGCCCCAGGACTGTGGCTCCCTCATGTCAGCGGTTGGCATGTGTCGAGGTGTCTTCTTAATAGTGTATCACTCTGTGCTCCTTGGCGTTCCCCAGCGGGACCACCTGCCCCCAAATGCTGAGCACCAAAGGCTTTCTTTCCTTCCCTGACAGTGTACTCCTTGGATGGGATTCTGGTGTTTGGTTTGCTCTTTGTGTGCACCTGTGCCTACTTCAAGAAGGTTCCTCGTCTCAAAACCTGGCTGCTGTCAGAGAAGAAGGGAGTGTGGGGTGTGTTTTACAAAGGTAAGAGCCTGTCTGCACTGGAAGGGAGGTTGCCTCTCTGAACACTGGGGTGCAACAAAGTGCGGGTCAGATAGGCTGGGATTGTACTTCGTTCAGCTTTGACGTAATTGTTTATTTTAGCGTCCAGGTAATGTTAGTATTTTACACGGAAGAAACGGATACAAATTTAAAAATTTTAGACTGGACTGGAATACTTTGCCAATGAAGAGTTTTCCTGAAGTTCTGGAAAGATTATATTGGGCCCTATCTGGTTTGGCTCAGTGGATAAAGGGTCCCAGGTTCGATTCCGGTCAAGGGCACATGTCCAGGTTGTGGGCTCGATCCCCAGTAGGGGGTGTGTAGGAGGCAGCTGATGAATGATTCTCATCATTGATGTTTCTATCTCTCTCCTTTTCTCTCTGAAATTAATAAAATATATATTTTTTAAAAAGAATATATTGGAGTCTTTTAGGTTTTGACTTCATAAACTCAAATGCTTCTTTTAAAAATTAAAAAAATATATGTTTATTGATTTCAAAGAGGAAGGGAGAGGGAGAGAAAGATAGAAATATCATTGATGAGAGAGTATCATCAATCATCTGCCTCCTACACACCTCCTACTGGGGATCTAACCCTTAACCCAGGCATGTGCCCTGACCAGGAATGCAACCATGAACTCCTGGTTCATAGGTCAATGCTCAACCACTGGCCAGTCTCAAATGCTTTTTTACATTTTATTCTGGGCACCTTCATGTGGAATCCTAACTACCTAAATATGTTTGCAAACTAGGGGAAAATGTAAACAAACAGCATATTCATCTAGAAACCAGGGTAGTACTTAAATACATTCCCAAGTGGATTCTTTCTTTTTTAAAAAAAAAAAAATATATATATTTTATTGATTTTTTACAGAGAGAAAGGGAGAGGGATAGAGAGTTAGAAACATCAATCAGCTGACTCCTGCACAGCCCCCACTAGGGATGTGCTTGCAACCAAGGTACATGCCCTTAACCAGAATCGAACCCAGGACCCCTCAGTCCGAAGGCCGACGCTCTATCCACTGAGCCAAACCGGTTTTGGCCCAAGTGGATTCTTTTTTTTTTTTTTTTTTTTTTAAATATATTTTATTGATATTTTACAGAGAGTAAGGGAGAGAGAGAGAGAGAGCTAGAAACATCGATGAGAGAGAAACATCGACCAGCTGCCTCTTGCACACCCCCTACTGGGGACGTGCCTGCAGCCATCGCACATGCCCCTGACCGGAATCGAACCCGGGACCCTTCAGTCCGCAGACCGACGCTCTACCACTGAGCCAAACCGGCTTCAGCCCAAGTGGATTCTTGAGACCGTTGGTAGCTCTCTTCATCTGTGACTAGAAATTTCAAAATATCACCTTGAGCCTGGCTGATGTGGCTCAGTGGTTGAGTGTAGACCCATGAATCAGGAGATTATTGTTCAATTTCCGGTCAAGGGCGCATGTCTTGTTGCAGGCTTGATCCCCAAAGGGGTGTACGGGAGCAGTCCATTGATGAGTCTCTCTCATCACTGATGGTTCTCTCTCCCCCCCACCCCCCTTCCTCTATGAAATCAATAAAAATATATTTTGGAGGGTAAAACTATATCACCTTGAAAGTGAGGACTAATATGAAGGACAGGCTGTGATTTCTCTTCTCTTTCTCCGTTTGCCCGCCAGCTGCAGTGATTGGAACCAGGCTGCATGCTGCCGTGGCAGTCACCTGCGTTGTCATGGCCTTTTACGTCCTGTTTATAAAATGAATTCCAAAGCCTCCGTCTCATCAACTGCCAACCCAGGAGACCACGGTGAGGAGCCTGTCTGCGCCAGGACTCGGCATAGGGGAGCTCAGCGCAAATCAACAACATCACCAGGATGACGCAGCAGCACCCGCCCCTCCCACACGTGGGGCAAACTCATGGTTGCAAACATTAGTCATGCTTCGGGGGACTCCAAAAAGCCATTATCCTTACATCGGTCCTCGGCAGATCAATTGCACCCTGCGTGATAACATTACATACCTCCTGCCTAAATCCTGTCACCTGTTCTGTTCCTCAGTCCATGTCAGGATCTTTTCAAGCAGAGGCTCATTAGGGAAGGAATAAGATCTCTTGGAAGGAGATGCTTTTCAAGACTTTTTTTTTTTTTTTTTTTTTTTTAATGTTTTGATTTAGATTTTGCAAGTTGGAGGAAAGTGGAGGGACCGGGTGGGAAACAGGAGTTGTGCAATGCCAAGAAATGTTTCGGCTCCGGAAATTTATCTTTCATATATCCATCTGGCAGCGTAAGAGAACATGGTCCTCACTGCCAAAAGAGAAGAGATGAAATCACTGTGCTGTGTGCTGGGGAGTGTTGCCAAGATCATCGGGGCCTATTAAGACTTGGGAGTTACCTGACTGTGGTGAGACCAGAAAGTAGGCACTCATAAGAAATAAGGTTTTGTTCACTGGGATCCCCAAAAGGAGACTTCACCCCAACAAATGGTATATGAAAATGAATCCACTGTCTGTTTTCCTAAAGCCTTTTTATATTTCCTAAATTACTGACTGCTACATGCTGTTACTCAGTTTTAAATGCCACCACTAGGGAAAAGAGAAACGATTGAAGAAATAATATATTTGCAGCTAGGGTAGAAGAAATATATCTAGTATATTAGTTCATATTACTAGTAAAGTTGTCTAGTATACATTGATTGTGATGTTCAATGGAAGTTTTATCATGTTATCCAAGATCCAAGCTTGTTCTTTGTTTAAATCTGGTTTATTATGGCAATTTTTAGTCAATTACTTGCTTTTCTTGGCCAACTCTTAATGTTATTCATATTAAAACCCTCTTTAGCTGTCCGTTGTAAATTCTGTATTATATGAACACGAGAAATTCAAATGAATGAGAGAAGTTGCTGATATTCATAGGCATACTTGAACAATTCATAGAATCCATGAATAAAATGAGGGTGACAACATTTGAAGGGAAGATTTTTCCATTCCCTCCTTGTTTCAGCAAAAGGATCCAGTGTTTTATTTTTGAAGCCTAGAACTTCTTTATTTAAAAAAAAAAAAAAAAAAAAAAGTTGACCTAAAATTGTTAAGAGCAGGCATGGACATAGACCTACCAGTTGAATTGTCCATGAGAGCAAAACTTGACTGTGGACAAGTAACTGTGGTTGCCCCTGTGTGACAGCAAGTTGTCTTTTGTCTTTCTCCAGGAAGACAGAAGCTGCTAAGAAGTTTAGGTTCTAAAATAGGCAGTTTAGTCTTTGAGGATTTCTCAAAGTGCAGGAATCATCACATATACACTACATATCGAATCATCTCAGAGTTGTGGCTGTTCTCTCTTCAGGAATTGGTCCACAGGGTAAAATTTCAGTGATTCATATGCTTTCAGTGGTCCTTTCTGAGGATGGCACATGAAAGAAAGGAAAAGGGAAAGAAGAGCTATACCTCATGCGTGTGAGTTTGGGACCCGTTGGCCAACAGTTGGTGTCGCTCCCTGGAAATACAAGTCCAGCAGGTTTGCACTTGTTACTATGTAGCTTTAATGACTTTTTTTTTTTTCCTAATAGGGCTAATGTCTCTAAGCTTAGTGCTTAGAGTTGTTTCATATTTTACACTAGTTCCATTTCACTGTTCTAGTTATTCAAACCATTTTTTTACAGCCTCCTGGGTAGGTTATCTTAACTCTTGAATTGTACTATTTTGAGATGTTTTCATTCCAGAATGTACCAAAAAGTGCACAGGTGAAGGCAATTTACAGCAAAAATAAAAATAGCTTATTTCGTTTGACTTTATATACACAGATAAGCAGGAATCTGTTTAACTCATTACTTTGCTTGATGTGTCATATTTTTTGACTGAAAATTAATAGAAGTTGTTCCTCTAAGAGGGTCTTTTAGAGGCGGGAGAATGGGATAGCAGTATCGCCCCAGACTCATACTGGCATCATCATAAATTCTGTATGCCAGGGTGGCGTGAAGTCAGCTTTTTATAGTTGAAATACAATTTTTTATTCACCACTGTCTGCACAAATTCTTGAAAATAAAATTTCTTTCCCTACCGTTTTTGTCCATTTTATTTGTTACACTCTGAAGTTATTGAACTTTGTTCCATATTCCCTTAGTTTAAATAAATTGATACCATCATTTGTGTTGACCCCTATGAATGTATCATATAGTTCAGGGTCTATGAGAACTCCTTTGGGGGAAGCTGATATATATACCAGCTTATATTGTATATATCAACATATATATGTATATATATATATATGAATATATATTATTTATATATGGAAATTTTGAGGTGTATTAAGGTAGATTATTTTTAACATTTTACCTACTACTGATATTAAAATATAAGTATTGATGTTTCTCATTGATGTTTCTAACTATCCCTCTCCCGTCCTCTCTGTAGAAATATATTTTTTAAAATAATAATAAAATATAAGTATCATCTGCCCTTACCAGCCATAAACTTCATTCAAATGATATTATCAGGTTAACCAGCCACACACATAGAAAACCCTTGAGCCAATGGGATTCCGACACATTCGTTAGCTGCCTTCCCCTATGTGTTTATCCCAACTGCATGGTAAGGCTGGCAAAAGTGTAAATTATAACTTCACAAATCATTTCTACCAGTGTCCAAAAATCTGATTTGCATCATCCCCATCTTCTCCTCCCCACCCCCATACCTATTTTACTGAAAAGGGAGAAGAGCCTGGCTGGCATGGCTCTGTGGTGGAGGATTGACCTATGAACCAGGAAGTCATGGGTTCGATTTCCGGTCAAGGGCACATACCTAGGTACTCTGTAAAAGGAACTAATTCTACTCATCATCGCATGTTTTTCACGACTCATTCTGGAGTTTGAAGGTCTGATGTGTTTTAATGGATATGAAAGTAAACACATGTTCAGCAATATGACTGCCACAGCTTCAAGTGCTGGGGAGCAAGAGGCTCCGAGGACAGAGATATGCCTTCCTCCCTTCACTCATTTCACAGGTATCTTTCCCTTTGGTAGAAGGATGTGAAGGGAGACAGCACTCCTGGGCAAGCTGATGGTCAAACCAGGATTTGCCTTCTCCCTGGGAAAGGAATCATTCACCTATTTCTGAGATTGAATCGTCCTATATCCATAAATGGGGATCAAAGGTCAAAGAAAAACTACAGATATGAATATAAATATGTAGCTGCAGAAAGATCAAAACTCAGTATTATGAGCATTTGTCCCGCCTGTCCCTGCGACCTGGCTTCCCCTCCGAGCCGCCAGAGGGCAGCAAAGCACGCTCTCGACGGGGACCTGTGCTCGGTGGTTCCTCCCAGAATCCTCCGCGGCGGGGGCAGAGGGGGAGGGGCAGAGGCGTTTAAAAGGGGTTGCGGACTTCCGGCCCCTCACGGGCGGGAGAGCGGCCTGGGGTGAGGTTGCTGTGCGTGGTGCTGCGGTGTCGCGTGGCTGGCGCGAGCGGGCCGAGGGTGTGTGTGGGTGTGTGGGTGTGAGCGTGCGTGGGGCGTGCAAGGCGAGTGCGTGACACCCCCTACGGCCCTCCCCCCGTCTACACGTTGATCTTATTTGATCGGGTCGTGACCCCCGCCCCGCCGGGCAGGCCCGAGATGAAAAGCTCCCTCCTGCGAAGCCCGCGCGGGCGCTGTGCAGCGAGGCCCCCGGGCGGCGGCGGCGCCGCGGTCCCGGAGCCGATCCGCGGGCCCGGCGCTCAGAAGTGATGAATTGATCAGATAGACGAGGCCGGGCTTGTCCCGGCCGCTGATTATCGAGGCGATTCTGATCTGAGCCCGGCCCCGGGGCGGCCGCCCGCGGTGTGGCCGACGCCGAGGTGGTGGGCGGCGGGCCCGGGCCCCGAGGGGAGGGCGACGATGTGAGCCGCCTCCCCGGAGCGCCTCGTCATCAGGACCGCGCCCCACAGAGCCTGCTGCTCGGGCGGAGGTTGACACATGCATATCTGTTTGCACGTTCGGCTCCATAAGAACTTGGACTTACACATCCCAGGGACCTGCCCCAGGTTTACTTAACCAGAATATATCCTCACTTGAGGATCTTTTTTTTTTTTTTTATGATTTGGAGAGAGAAAGGGAGAAAAATACCGATGAGTTGCCTCCTGTATGTGCCCCAACCCAGGATGAAACCCACAATCTAAGTATGTGCCCTGACTTGGAGCCTGAGACCTTTTGGTGTAGGGGACTGTTCCGATCAGCTAGCTGAGCCACCCGGCCAGGGCTAGAAATATATATATATATATATATAGATAGATAGATAGATAGATTAGAAATATATATATATATATATATATATATATATATATATATATATATATATATTTTTTTTTTTTTTTTTAATTCTCAGTGGAGGGTATTTCCCCACGATTTTGGGGGAGATGGAAGGGAGGGAGAGAAATATCAATATGTACACATTGATTGGTTGTCTCCTGCTCACACTATGATTGAGCCTGCAACTTGACCAGAATCGAACCTGGGACCCTTCAGTCCAAGGGCCGACACTATCCACTGAGCCAAACCAGGGAGGGCAAAAAACCTCTTGCATGGATTACAGTAATCAATTTTTCTATGATCAGTATCAACCTGCATGAGGTGAATAACCATTTTCAGCCATTCTAAATAACTGGCACTTTGCACCAGATACACGATCTCAATAGTGGAAGAGGTGCCCAGCCTGTCTGGCAAGGTGGTTGAGCATGGACCCAAGCACCAGGAGGTCACGCTTGGATTCTTGGTCAGAGCACATGCTCCAGTTGCTCGATCCCTAGTAGGGGGCGTGCAGGAATCTGCCCTTTCTCTGAAAGCAATAAAAACTTTTTAAAAATAGTGGAAGAGGGGCTATTTTGGGTGGTATTTTAAGGACCATACACTTGAGTATCAGGAAGAAGCCTTTTCTATCTGTTATTCAACAATGCCAAAAAATAAAAGCAAGGAAACTGTAAAATACCCCCCCCCTTAAAAAAAAAAAAAAAAAAAAAAGCCGAAACCAGTTTGGCTCAGTGGATAGAGCGTCGGCCTGCGGACTGAAAGATCCCAGGTTCGATTCTGGTCAAGGGCACGCACCTTGGTTGAGGGCACATCCCCAGTGGGGATTGTGCAAGAGGCAGCTGGTTGATGTATCTCATCGACGTTTCTAACTCTCTAACCCTCTCAATTCCTCTCTGTGTAAAATCAATAAAATATATTTTTTTAAAAAAAGACCACATCCCTTTCTAGTTACAAATAATGCATACTTTCCAGAGCAACACTTTAAAATATGCATTAAAAGTCTAACAATTAAAAAAAAAGAAAAAAGACGATGCCAAACTTCTGTACCATAGTCTAGGTCTGCCATTTCTTGCCCAATCTAACAGCAGGTTCCTGTGACTTGTAACTTTAGAGACCACATTAGTGCATTGTTTTTAGGTTGCTTCAAACCCAAGCACCAAATTTTTTAAAGTATATTTTTATTGATTTCAGAAAGGAAAGGAGGGGGAGAGAGAGAGAAAAACAGCAATGATGAGAGGGAATCATTGATTGGTTGCCTCCTGCATGTTGGACTGAGCCTGCAACCCAGGCATATACCTTTGACCAGAATCAAACCTGGGACCTGTGAGTCCCCAGCTGACGTTCTATCCACTGAGCCACACTGGTTAGGGCTCAAGCACCAGATTTTTTTTTTGAACCAATGTTTATAAGGATTAGGGGTAAATATCAGCACAAACATACACAGGCAAGGGAACTGACTCCCAACAAGAAGATGGTAGAGCCAAAACTGGTTTGGCTCAGTGGATAGAGCATCGGTCTGCGGACTGAAAGGTCCCAGGTTCGATTCCGGTCAAGGGCATGTACCTTGGTTGCAGTCGCAACCCCAGTAAGGGGGTGTACAAGAGGCAGCTGATCGATGATTCTCTCTCATCGATGTTTCTAACTCTCTATCCCTCTCTCTTCCTCTCTGTAAAATACCAATAAAATATATTTAAAAAAAAAAAGAGTAGTCTAGCGGCAACTCTATGGGTAACAGACACTTCAGGCTTCACCGTGCACAAATGTTTTTAATGGAGGTGGGCAGCAGGCTGTCCCATCGATTAATCAATCCGGGGGCCTGTCAGCATCAGGTGGAGAAGAAGCCACCATCTGTCTTGCGGGAATAGCCTCCGTTGGTGGCTGCAGAGTGAGGGGACACTGGAGAAAAGCGGGCTGTAAATTTCAGATCCTTTGTCTTCACTGGGAACCTGTAGCCACCCATCCACTTATGGGGGCTAGAGAGAAGGTTCTTATAACAGCCGGGGAACTGGCATATAGAAGACAGACAGGAGGTAGCTATAGGTCTTCCACTACCAGGTTTCTGCTGGAAATTTGTCCCCTAGACCTAAGGCTGAGTTAGAGGCTCAGAAAAATGGAATTCATTCCATAGTCAGCACGCATGTCCCCTGATGTGTCTGATATGTAACAATCACTGCTGTTACTAGACCCTATGTCCCCCCCCCCCCCCCGTGTTCCCTCCTAGCCCATCACCTCCATCCCTGAGTCCTGGTCCATTTAGAACTTGTACCACCATCTGCCCATCACTTACCTATGGAGCCCTGGATGCTGTAGATGGACTCCCGCTTAGGGCTGATCCACTGTCTGATGTCAGCTCGGGAAGTGATGGGCGGTGGGGGAGGGGGTGAGTGTTCTCCAGGGGGTTGGATTTTGGTGATCCTAGAGGATGGGTGTGGGGAAGATCGGGGAGAATGAAGCCCAGCAGGAGAAAGGTGCGGAGGGAAAGAATTACATTCAACCTCCAAACTAAAGCAGCCAAAGGCCCTTTTTACACTCTGGAATGAACCGAAGATTTTGTTTGTTTTATACAGATAAGAACAGGAAGTTCTCTGTTCATTTCAGATAATAAGAATACAGAAAAAAGCGAGTGTTGGTGAGGATGTGGAGAAAAGGGAAGGATTCCACTGTTGGTAGGAATGTAGGCTGATACAGCCACTGTGGAAAGCAGTATGGCAGTTACCTCAAAAAGTTAAAGAGAGAACTGCCTTACCACCTGGCAGTTTCACTTCTGGGAATTTGTCTGAAGAAACCCAAAACACTAATTCGAAAGAATGCACCCCTATCTTCACTGCAGCATTATTTACAATCGCCAAGATTTGGAAGCAGCCTGTGTCCATCAGTAGATGAATGGGTAAAAAGGAAGAAAATTTTATATTTTTTTGGACTGCATGGATGGATGGACCTGGAGGACATTATGCTAAGTGAAACAAGATTAAAAAAAAAAAAAAAAAAAAAAAGGTAAGTACCTGTTGGCAGTTATTTCCCAGGTGGCCTTTATAAACCTTACTTAATGGATGGCATTACCCTTGGGATGGGGAGGCCCTGCCTTCACCACTTACCCGTGGATGTCCTTAGAGGTCTCCCTGTGGATCAGGGCCTCATTTATGTTCTTGAACGCCCCCGTGTGGTGGTTGTACAAAGCAGCTAAGCGGAAATCCAGATTATCCTTCGGGATAACCTACAGAGGAAGTTAAGCCCCCCAGGGTTAATGCACCACCTTTACTCTCTTCCCCGCTAGTCAAGTTCTAGTCAAGTTCTATTGGGCTCTATTCTTCCCCATAGGCAGAGTGAATCCCTTTTGGGCCTGGAGCCACCAATTCCTTACACCAACTTGTACATGGTGACTCTTGTCAATAAGGAAATTGTCTCTCAAGGAGTAGTGAGCTCCCCCTATAGACATGGAAATCACTATACTGTCCCCAATTTGGGCTCACCGGGCCTTAACTTTGATCATGGTTATATTCAATCTTTGTTTTAATCATAAGAGTGAGAAGTCCAGGGAGAAAATGACTTGCTTCAGATAACTGACTAGAGCATAACCCAGGCCTCTGACTTCCCAGAGCCCAGGTAAATTGGTATTTAGTTTTCAATTTGGTAGGAACTTGGATTGAGGACAAGGGAAAGATACTAAAGAAGTCAGGGACGGACTTCCTTTCAAAGAGGATACTGATGAGTTCTAATTGGACGTAGAGAAATAGTATTTCAATAGCAGATACCTCAGAGTCAAAAAAAAAAGTATTCCGCCTAATGGAGGTGATGGTGGGAACTGAGTTGAGCCGATTCCAGGGTCCCCGCTGCTGATCAAGGTGAGCTGGGTTTTTATACGTCAGGATCTGCAAAAGGAAAACCGCTTAAGGAACTGGTTACCTGGATACAAGTCCTTGCTGCTATGGTAGCTTCAGTGACATCCATCCCTTCATCCTATTTTAATTGAATCTCAGAACAACATCAGTCAAGAGAGGAGCAATATCGGGCAAAACGCTCCGGGCTTTTGATCCTCCTGTCTTCAATCTTAGAATTGACAGAAAAGAGTCTACCGAGCCAGACTCTTCAAGAGTCACATTTACTATCTTTACTTCTTCCTCCTCCCTCTCCCCATCCCCTTTTCAGCCTGGCCTCTGCCTCAAGCACTCCCTGAAACCACTCTTGCTGGTGATCAATGGTTTTTGAGGCTAGGTGGAGTAGATCCTTTCCAGACCTGATCTTATCTGACCTCTGCAGTTTCTGGCACCATGATGCTGTTCTCTCAATCCTCTGTGGGTCCGGCTTCTTCGAATTTCCTCCTGTCTTGAACTGTTGCTTCTCAGCTCTGTGCGGCATTCCCAAGGTGTTTCGTTTCTGCTCCCCTTACTCTCACATTTGCTAGATGAGCTCATTCCTCCCCGTGGCTCCAACCACCAGATGGGCACTGTGGTTTCCAGATGTACATCTTCAACCCAGGACTCTCAACCACACTTACATGTCCCACAGGCACCACAAAAGCAACGTCTACATGATTGATCGGAATCTCTCTCCCCAATCCAGCTAACCCTGGATGCCTCATTCAGTAAATGGTACCCATTAAGCCCTCAGGAACCCAGGAGTCACCACAGACTCATCCGCTCTCTCTGGCTCATATCCAGTCAGCCACAGAGTCCCATCAGTCCTGCCCTCTGCATCTCTCTTATCTGCACCTTATTGCCACCCCTGCATCACTGCCTTAGGCCCATTATTCTTCCTCGTGGAGGTTGCTGCCTCTGGAGGCTCCCACCTCCTAGCTGATCCCTCCTGTCTCACTCCCACCCTGTCCAATCCACTGCCGCCTGAAACACCATCCGCTGTGTCACTCTAGTGCTTACAATCCTGAGGTGATTCCCAGAACCTCCAGGATGGAATCCTAGCTCAGTGGCATGGTGCACACAGCACACCCAGCCCCGGGAGATCCCCCTCCAGCTTCTGCCCTCTCCACTCCTCCACCTCCTTGGCCCCAAACAGGTCACACTTTCTCCTCTTTTCAGGGGTATGAGCACCTGCCACTTTCTTTGTCTTGCTGGTGACCAATGTCTGGCTCCTGTTTCTTTCTTCCCAACTCACATTTCACCTCCTCCCTCCCCTGGCCCAGCTCACTCATATTTTGATGTCAAAACTCACCTGCTTCCCTTTTAGCTCCCAGTTCTCCTGACACACTCCGTATAACTCACAACACACATGCTACTATGCAAGCATAGTTTCTTTAGAGCAGGTGCTATCCCTAATATGTCTATATCTACAGCTGCTAATCCATAGCTCCTCAGTGTTTAGTGGTACCTGGCATAGAGTAAATAATAAATGATGAATAAACCCAAAGAAGCTCTCTGATTGTATTATTAAGCCACAATGGCTATTGAATTCTCCCTAGTTTGTGCCACTTCAAACATCGTGGCCACTTCTATTAGAAAGAAGGTCATACACACGTTCCAGTATCAACCAGGGAACAGAGATGGTATGAAAACACATGACCCGGTGGCTTTCAGAGGGCTTCCTCCCCCTCCGTATTGCTCAGCCTCTTAGAGGACCGTCTTCCCACAGGGCAAAGGGTCAACGACCCTTGGGTCCGTTTCAGCCCTATTACACCAGTGTGCTTCGGTGAGAGCCCCTGGCTCCTCTGGTCTAGAGCTCTACCCCTCTGCTCAAAAGCACCCCTGAAACGTTAGCCGACCCGAACATGGGGACATGGAGGCAGGCAGGAAACCGACTTGTCCGGGACCTCGGGTCCTCAGCAGGGTCCTTCAAGTCCTCCCTCATGACAGAAAGAGTGCCAGCGGCCCCACGAGGCCTGCGCAAGAAACCCCAGTACCTTAGGAGCCCCGGCTTTCCCCGGGAGGGAACCATCGTTTTTCAGCATAGGCTGCTGGAAAGGGTCTCGGGTGGGAGGCATGGTAAAATGAGAAGCTCTTGGGAGGAACGGGAGGCCGGCGCAGTCGCACACAACCCTGCACGCAGAGGCTCGCGGGTCCCAATTGTTTGGAAGGCCCACCCTTGGTTGCCAGGCAACTGCCCCACCATCTATGACAGGTGAATGCCTATCAAGAAAGGCGCCACCTGGCGGTCCAATGTTTGAGGGGCCTCGGGAGGAAGCTACTGGGAACACAGAGGCAAAGAGCCGCTGACCCTACCCCCAGGAGCCCTGGATTTGCCCTCCTGAACCCCAGGTGGAGAAACAGAGTCCTCCTGGCACGCAGGATGAATGCAAAAAGACCTCAGCTGGCAAACGGAATCCTGAAAGATGACCCAGAGATTCTCTTCTCCCCCGCATCTAACAAAAGGATTCTTCAAAGCAGCAAGAGAACGGGGATGTCCCAGAGACGGAAGAGCACACGTGTCGCGCTTGGAAAACTGCCGCCTTAAGCAAACACTCTTTGCTTCAACCCGGTTTAACTATTATGAGTCTCAAGGCTTCGCATCAAGCCGGCCGTGAAGGCCCAGACGGATGTGGAGGGATGGATGCGGAGCGGCTGGCTGCCTTTGCAGTAGGTGACACCTTCTGTCACTTCTAGAAGAGGGACGGCGTCTCCATCTCCTTCCTAGCGCTGCCCACTCGGAACGGGCTCAGTATTTGTCCTCAGCCACGTCTGCAGAATCAGAGGTGCTCACAGTGCACGGCAGGGCAGAGGGAAACCTGCACTAGGTGGCGATGGCTGGGAGATGCTTCCGCCGCGTTCTTTACTCGCCCCTGGTCCCCGGCGCGCGCGCACTTCCACGCGGCGCGCGCCGCAGCGACGGCTGCCATGGCGACCGGCAGGTGAGCGGCGGCGCATCGCGCGGTCCCTACCCGACACGCGCGGGGGGAAGAGAAGGCGGTTGACAAGGCGACGTGGGTAGGAGGAGACGAAGAAGGAGGGAGGAGGAAGGATGGGCAGCTTTGGCGTGGCGGCCCGGAGGTGACTGGAGTGAGCCCAGCCCCTCGCATCCTCCCCCTAGGATCCTCCCTCCCCTTTTATTCCGCCTCCTGCCAGCGGGAGCCGCAGCCGCAGCACCTGAGTCGCGGCCGCCGCCAGCTCAGGACGACGCTATGGCTGATGCGGGGCGCAGCCTCCATCCCTCTGCCGGGGGCAGGGGAAGAGCAGGGCGGCGCACGCTCCGGTTCCTGCGGCTGCTGCTCTGGGTCGGGACCGCCTTCCAGGTGACCCAGGGAGGCGAACCGGAGCTCCACGCCTGCAAAGAGGTACTGTCCTCCCGGACCCGACCCCACCTTGGTCAGAAACAGCTTGGACCCTGGTGGAGACCTTGGGGACCTAGGCACAGTTTCAGAGGCCACGGAGTTTAGTTTTTTTTTTTTTTTTTTGGTGAAGATGGGGGAGGAAGGAAGAGGAGCAGACCGGCTGATGGAGAGGCCAGCCCACTGGAGGGCTCACAGTCTCGGCAGGGAGCTGGGGAGAAAGGTCCACCATTTGGGACCTGGGCTCCTGGGCTCCGGACTCTGGATTATGGGGAGAGGACCTGAGTTGTTTTCTTCTGGGGTGAAATGACCTTAAAAGTGGTTGAGAATAAAAGATGATGTATGTACTGAGTGGCGCCATAGAAAGTGGGCAAGGGGAGAAGTGGGGTGGGGAAGAAGTTAGGAAGGCCGCAGGTAAGGAGCAGATGGGAGTCCTTGTGCCTTTACCGTGGCCTCAGAGGGAGTGTGAAAAGCGGAGACATGCGAGCGAGTGGCACTCACAGGTCTCATCCCCTCTCCCAGCTCCTATCCGGCACCCGGTCACCTTGCTGGCTGCTGGAGGTAGAGGCTCTTTGTAGCTTTGTTTCCCCCTACACTTGGCTTAGTGTACCTGGCCGCACATGGCCCGCCTGTGGCCAGACTGAGTTCTGTGACATCTCACTTTCTGCTAATCTCCACTGTCCTTCTCCGACTCACCTGACAGGTCATGCGTCAAGGTGCTTCCAAAATGTTGTCAACATATTTCAGACAATAGGTAGTGAATGCCTTTCCACCAAAGGTGCCTTTTGGATATTCGTTGTGGAGAGGTGCAAAAAGATGTTAAGGAGTAACCAAACCCAGTCGTTTCTATAATATTGAAACAACAATATTTGGTTGTGCTCTAACTTTTTTTTTTTTTTAACCATATGGCAGAAGCAGCAACAAATATTTACAAGAACTCCATTGGGGAAGGCAAAACAAACATAGTCCCTTAATTTCTGAGAAATGTGAAAGACTTCATAATATATCTATGCAAAAATAATCCAAGATGTCACCCTTGGCTGAGGTTCTGAGAAGTTGAAATGTTGTTGTTGTTGTTCCACTTATTTATGCATTTATTGGTTGGATCTTGTATATGCTCTGAGCGGGGATCAAACCTGCTACCTTGGTGTATCAGGATGAGAAGTTGAAACATTTTTTTTTTAAGTTATCAGTATGAATTGGTTAGCAACCACAACCCCACTACCTATTGAAATATAGTATTTATGATGTTCTAACTATAGACAGTCTACAACATAACAGATCGTGAAGAAGTAAGGGGGGAGAGAGGAGAGCATTTCTGTGTGAGTACAGATGAATACGACACAAGTGAGTGGGATTTTTGAAAACGTTTATCAATCCCAAGGACTTCCAGCCCTGGGCCATCCCATGTCCACCCAGCCATTTTCTCTCCTGTTTAAGATACAGCGGGATGATTTTGTCCGTGACTGTGGCTTACTGGCCTTGGTGGCTTACGATCTTGAACCAGCTAAGTTAACAGTTCCAACAAGCCCACTTGCTTAAGAATCCAACATAGGAGTCTCCTGAGTGGAAGGAAAGAATCTTACAGTTCAACTGCCACTGCTTGTTGAGATCCTTGCCAACTGTGAAAATTGCAGATATTTAAGAGGTTTAACATTTTGTATCATTCTGGTTTGGAGGCAGGGACGAATACTGATGCTTGAGAACTCTAACTGGGTTACACATTTGGCGTTTAGTCCTTTTGAATGATTGACATTTGTCTAAGCGAAAGATCTTGCCACAGAGAGCGAGCTTAGGGCAAAGCTGTGGGACTCAATATTTCAGCGCTCCAGTCCCTGCCCGTGACTTCCCACCCAGGTTTTGGATCTGCAGAATGGGTGTTTCAGTAACACCCACCTCAAAAAGGATTGCTTTGAGGATTGAAAGGAAAACGTAAATAAAGCACACATTGGAGTTACCGAACCCCTTTTCCCAGTCAGCTGCTTTACAGTTCAATCCCCACCCAGGCCCGAGTGAAAGTGGCTCAAGGCTCAGGCTCATTAGTCACAGGAGTCGGCAGGTCCTGTTTGCACTCCCTGAGCAAACAGTGGCGGCAGAACACCCTCAACTCCAAAATAAGGAAGCGGATAAACTCATTAGCCTAACAGTCCTCGTTTGGCAATACGAACTGACCCAACTAGTTTTGGGGCTTCCAACTCAGAATGGTGAAAAACCAATTCAGGGTAGACCAGCCCTTCTCTATGCTGAATCTACGTGTGAATTGTGAGAGTCTGTGTTGGGACTCTTCTCAGGCCAAGGCTGACCCTAATGATAACAGTGCTGCTCCAGCCTTGTTTCTGAAACCTGAGGCATCGCTCTGGATCTTGTCAGGGAACAGAGAGGTTTGGCTGGCAGCCCACATGCTTTTCTTACCTTCAACCTGAGAGTTCTAGATTTCTAACCCTGAGCTGGGGCTTGGCATACCTTCCACAGTTTTCCAATCATCAGGGCCACCAGTGGAGCTAAACATCCCTGAATGGAGTTTGTCTTCATGAGTCATTTCTTTAGTCCTGTGTTGCCCAGGCTAAGTGCTGTTTGAGAGCTCAAGGGCCGACCATTTCCTATAGCGCGATGAACCCAAATCAAATGCCAGAAGCAGAACATGGCTTTTAACAGATCTGCCTGGTCCTGAGGCTCCAGTACTAACTGTCCCCAAATGGCCTATACGGAAAAGCCTGGAGGGCTGAGGAATCTGGCAGATGTAGATTGGAATAAAATTGATTGAGTGATCCCACTTAGTAAGGATGCTAGGTGAGCAAGTAAATCAACTTCTGACAGCCTCAGATTACCAATCTGTAAAATGGGGATGGTAATACCCATCTCAGAGGCTGTTGTGAGGATTAAATTAGATAACACATGTTAAGTGCCTAGCACATAGTCTTGACATGCCATAGGCGCATAAGAAATAATGGTAGGAAGAAAAGATAAAAAGCAAATAATGACATGCAAGTGACGAGATAAGGTTAACTGATGGCAAACAATGCAGGAGTGACACGATAGAGGTTAATAGGAAAAGAAGACTTGTTTAAGCAGCTGGTACTTGACCTGGAATTATCTGGAATTTCAAAGGGTAGAGATGGAGGAAAGGTGCTTTCTAGATAGAAGGAGGAGCCTGAGGAAAGGTCCATAGGTAGGAAATACACTGAGTGGCCAGATTATTGTGATCTCTGAACACATAATAATATGGCCACTCAGTGTATATCCTATATAATAAAAAGCTAATATGCAAATTGTCCCCTCAACCAGGAGTTCGACCAAAAGGCAGGCCTGCCAACCACCCATGTCCCCTCCCCCTGGCCAGGCTGGCTGGACCCCACCCATGCATGAATTCATGCATTGGGCCAGATTATTATGCGTTCAGAGATCATAATAATCTGGCCACTCAGTGTATACAAGAGCCTGAGAACTGCAAAAAGACCAGGTGGCTGGAATGTGGAGTGGAGTGTGAAGTGTGGGGTCCACAAGAAATCAAGGTTGGAGGGTCAGAACGAAGTGGAGAGTCCTGCTGAGAGTGGGTTAACATGAACACGAAGTAAACACAGCTGAGGCAGGCCGGAGGCTGAGAGCAGACTCCTCGGGAACCATCAAGGTTGGATGTTTAAGACATCCTGCCATATTTGGTGAAGAGAGAAAATTAAAAATCTCCAATTGTCATGAAGAACTTACTCCAATTGGCAAGATGGGATGTTTTTGTTTACTACCAACAGGGCTAAAGAAGAACAGCTTCTTGAGTTCTGAAGGCGTTTAAGGAGGCATTTTGTCAACAAAAGTGACACCTTTCATTTGCAGAAAAATTGGAAAATATAGGTAAATAAAAAGAAGATAGTAAAAATCACCTATAATATTATCTAGAATTTTTTTTTTAAAAAATGAATTATCGTAGACTTTTTTTTTTTTTTTTTTTTTTTTTTTTTTTTTTTTTTTTTTTAAGAGAGAGAGATGGGGAGAGAGAGAAACATTGATCGGTTGCCTCCTATATGTACCCTCATTGGGGATGGAACCTAAAACCTAGGTTTGTATCCTGACTGGGAATCAAACCCACAACCTTTTGGTGCATGGGACAACGCTCCAACTAACTGAACCACCTGGACAGGGCCACTCTATCATTTTTTTTTTAATTATTTTTTTCACTCTATCATTTTTATGGTTATATTTGTGAGAGAGAAACAGAATAGTGGTACAGTGTGGGATCTGGATAAAACTAGTTCAGTTCAATTTCTAGCTCTTCTTACTATGACCTTGGGAAATTTATTTAATCTCCTCCTGCCACAGTTTCTTCATTATTAAAATGGGTATATTAATAGAGTCCACTTATGATTATACTATAACCGTTACATGAATTAACACATGTATATTGCTTAGAATAGTTCCTGGTGCATGGTAAATACTCAGTAAATGTTGGCTGTTAGAATTCAATTTTTAGTGGGAGTATAATTTACATGATCTTATAGTGGTAAAAGATTAAAAATTTAATGGTGGTAAAAAGTTAGTTGAATTGGAAAGGAACAAAGAGTAGATGGCGAAAGATATTTGGAGGAAAAGGTTGATGGAATTTGCTAAAGAGACGAAGGAGATGAAGGAGACATAGCACTTAATAGTCTTGAATTGTGCTGTTCGGGTGTGGATGCCCCCCAGCTACCTTTGGCTGCTAGCACTTCAAACGTGGCTAGTGCAGCTGAGGACATGGTAATGGCTCTCAGAGAAATGCCCTCTGAGCCATCTAACCCCATATCCAGACTTGGTGGATTCAGTTACCTTTCATTTATTTATTTTTTAATGTTTTTATTGATTTCAGAGAGGAAGGGCAATGGAGAGAGAGACAGAAACATCAGTGATGAGAGAGAATAATTGATCAGCTGCCTCCTACATGCCCCACATTGGGGATTGACCCTGCATCCCAGGTATGAGCCCTGACTGGGAATTGAAACGTGACCTGGTTCATGAGTTGATGCTCAACCACTGAACCA